GCTGCGCTCCCCACCAGGTTCTCCCGCCGCTGGCGCTTCCCCACACCCTGTCATAACGCGAGTTTGGCCCCGCAGCGTGTGCGGCCCATCCTCCCCCGGCCATCCCGTGTCACGACCCCGACTAGGTGGGCGCACATAAATGCCCCGGCAGGTACCATGGCGCTCGCGGGCACCGCATTGGGGACCACTGCTTTAAGGAATAACAGACTTAAATTATTTTAAAAGCTTCAGCGGGGTAGCCGAGTTAGTCTGTAACAGGAAAAACTTAAACAACAACAAACAGTCTGGTAGCACTTTAAAGACTAACAAAACATGTAGATGGTATCATGAGCTTTCGTGGGTACAACTCACTTCTTCAATAACAGGAGTGTTGGATGTCCAGAACCAAGAAACTATTTTATTTTGTACTGCTCAGGAGAGTGCTGGGCAGTAAAGGACACTTCTGGAGGAAATTCTAAGAGGGGGGATGTGTTGGAGTCAGGGCTGGCCTTAAGCTGATTCGTCCGAATCGGGCCCCACGCCTAAGGGGGCCCTGCACTCCTGAACCCAGAAGTGCCGGCGAGTTACAGAGCCGGGGGCCCTGCTCCACCAATATGTGGAGCTGGGTCTCTCCCCCAGCTCTGCCTGGAGCGGGCCCCGGCCCCCCTGCGCATCCTCCCACCCTGGCCCCAGAGCGTCTCTCCCCCGGCCCTGGTCCTGACCGTGTGCAACCTTCACTGAGCTCCCCCTTGCTGGCTATTGCTGCCATGCGCGGTGTGCTCAAACCAGTGGGCAGGGAGATGCCCGGGCATGCCATAACATCACGGCCAGGGATTTTAAAACTGCTGGGCGCTGCGTTGCGCCATGCAGCTGAGTTGCGGGTTCAGAGTCCGGGGACGGAGCACAGACTCCGGCCCCGCAAAATGGAAGGCAGAAGGTAGGGGAGGGGGAGGGCTGAGAGAGGAAGGGGCTTGGGCAGAGGGGGAGGAGAAGGGAGGAAACTAGGGGAAGGGCTGGGAGACGAAGGGGCTTGTGCGGAGGAGGAGGGGAGAGGGGGAAGAAAGGGGAAGGCACCAAAGGGACAGGGTAGAGTAGAGAGAAATGCCAGGGGACCAAGTGCAGACAATGAGGAAAAAGGCAGGAGGGGAGGTGTCAGTGGGAGAGGGACAGGGTGATGCTGGGAGGGGAGAGGATAAGGGCGTGGGACAGGGTGATGCTGGGAGAGGAGAGGAGAGGGGAAGGGCATTGGGAGCTATAGGGGGAGGGGAGGTGCTGGGAGAAGGCTTGAAAGAAGGGGAGGGCATGAGAAATGTGGGGATGGAGCAAGTCGTGTGAGGGCACAGAGGGGCAGGAGGGGAACAGGGCAGAGAGTGGTGAGGGGGTGGGCATCAGGGAAAAAGAGAGGAAAAGGGGCAGGGGCAGTAAGGGAAGGGGGAGGCACCAGGAGGGTGCAGGGCTAAGGAAAGGTGCAGGTGCCAGGGGATTCTGGGGTGAAGCAGAAGGGCAGACACCTGCAGGGGAGGGACCAGCACCAGAGGAGAGAGGCGTTAGAAGAGGGGTAGTTCACATGATCAGAGTGGGGCTACTGGAGGAGTGGGCACAGGGGAGAGAGAACGGCTGGTGGAGGGGGGCAGGTCACAGGAGGGCTGAGGGTAGTGAGAAGGGCAGGAGTCAGGACAGCAAAGGAGAGTGAGGAGTTGGGAGGCAGCAGGCACCAGGGGAGATGATGGAGCAAGGAGAGGAGACATGGCAGCAGAGAGAAAAGGTAAAGGTTTATAAAATATTTATTAATAACTTGGTATGCTGCCCACTGTCACTTTGTTTGTGCCCCGCGGTGCAGTTTGGGTTTATGTGGGGATCAACACGTGGTCGGTGAGTGGGAGCCAAAACAAAAGTAGTCAGTGTAATGATCTTCTGTTGATATGTGTTTTAGTAGCTAAATTCTTGGATTGTCATCGCTCATGAAAAGTGCTGTCACATGGGTAGAAATCGGGTAAATATTGCATGTTATTAATATCAGCAGAACTGACTTAAATGGGGCCTGTGTGTTTTTTAGTCTTGCCTTAATCTTTGTATTCATGCCTGTCAGTGTGAGAGAAGCTATTTGTGTATATTTGCTTGCATATACAACCACACTTAAGTTGAGGCCCTCAGCATGTTCTGTAAGTATCAGTGTGGCCCCTGGGGCTTCCAAGTTGAGTTGCCCTAGCTCATCCCTGACAGGTGTCTGTCTAACCTGGTCTTAAATATCTCCAGTGATGGAGATTCTGCAATCTTCGTAGGCAATTTATTCCAGTGTTTAACCACCCTGACAGGCAGGAAGTTTTTCCTAATGTCCAACCTAAACCTCCCTTGCTGCAATGTAAGCCCGTTGCTTCTCATCTTAACCTCAAAGGCCAAGCAGAACAATTTTTCTTCCTCCTCCTTATGATACTCTTTTAGATACTTGAAAGTTGCTCTCATGTCCCTTTTCAGTCTTCTCTGTTCCAAGGTAAACAAGGCCAATTCCTTCAGCCTTGCCTCATATCTCATGTTCTCTAGACCTTTCATCATTTGTGTTGATCTTCTCTGGACTTTCTCCAGTTTCTCCACGTTTCCTGAAATGTGGCGCCGAGAACTGGACATGATACTCCAGCTGGGGCCCAATGTAGATGGCTCATTCCCTGCCTAGGGGACGTGAGACTTGGCGGGTTAATTTCCAGTCCTCCTGTTTATTCTTTTCCCAAGCCAGGAGGGCACGGTAATTCTGGTGGGGACTCTGCAGGAAGGCAGCCCGCACTGTCCCCTGCCTGGAACCTTGTGCAGGTGTTAAACAGCTGTCCAACCCACCCTAGAGGTGACTGCATTTCTGCATGCCTAAAGCAACACTGCACCAGCAATGGACAGGAGAATGTCTCCCAGGCATGGCTTGCTCATGACTGCTTCAGTCCCGTTGATGGGCCTCAGTCTCTTTCCTTCCACTCCTTCGCTTTGCAATGGGGATGAAGACTCTGGGGGAGAGGGATGGAGGCAGGCAGAAGTGTCTCCCTGCAGCAGATGTAGACACGTCTCTGTAGGTGACAGGCATCAATCACCAGATCATTGCTTGGAGGGATCTCCCTGCTGATCCTCTCCTAAGGCTTTCAATTAGCCAAGGGATTGTAGGTCGCAGGCATCCACCGCCGTCTCCTATTCTGTAAAGTATACCCCTTTTGTGTATGGGACCTTTCTATCTTTATGTCTTCTGGGATAGGGTGAGTTCATTGCAGTTGTTTGTTGTTGTGTGCCTCTAACTTTCAAATACATGGTTTGGCCCTAAACCTTGTCTGGCCTGATTTGTGATTGTCAGTCCAGCGGTGGTAGATACGTAACACCAGGCTGAATTTGACTTCTGTGGGGGGATAGGCTTTGATTAATTGCTTAGGCTCGACAGCAATTGCTTACCTAAGTCTCTCGGGTAATAGCTTAACCAACTTGATATTTATAATATATGGAGCGATGTACCGAAGTGTGTGTGTGCTCAACAAAAAATCCTGGGTGGTGGGGGGCCCTGCCAAACTGTTTGAATTGGGCCCTGCACTTTCTAAAGCTGGCCCTGGTTGGGGTAACCTTGCAGTATATCCAAGGCTGGCAAGAGTCAGAGTGTAACCCAAATGTGACTAACACAGAAACATTCAGGGCGTGGCTTGCATGCAGGAAGGCTGCCTGTGAGTGAACCATTGGAAGATACTACAACAAGGCATAGTAAGGCACCCCAGGGTGCAGGGCAGGGGGTGATGCCATTGCTCATTGCTCTGGATTGTGCTCTGGCATGTCACATAAAAACTATAAAAAAATCTCCCTGGCACTTTCGCAGAGCTGTTCCTAATGCCCTGGCTGCATTTCAGTTTTGGGAATATACCTTGTGCCAAGTCTTGGCCAGACAAAACTGGCAGTAACTCAATGGGAACTTTGCCTGGTTGTCAGCACAAAGTCAGAATTCTCTCATTCAGTTGAACTAAATTCCCCCAGCAGTTCTGATGGGCTGTAGTAGATGTCTTCCTTTCCTGTCCTAAACTACAGTGCACAGTTGCTATCAGTGGGATGACTGATTTCCAGTGGTGGGAGAAGGGAATAAGGTATGTGCGATATTTCAGCGATGTGCCCATTAACCATTCCAAACAATAGTGGGTATTACTGTGAGATACTGAAGATTGTGTATTAAATAGTGAGTTTTTAAGACAGTTTTAAACATTATACCTTGATGTAATATGTATGAAAGGTAGGAAATGTCTTTTCCATCCCTCTCCCTTCAGCAATTTTCTGACTTTCAGGCAAGTGGATGCCATGGGGATATTTGAGACATCCATTACTGCCTTGGCAGTATATACATATTTTAGGTCAGCATTTCCCAAAGTATGGAGTGCATTCCCTGTGAGGGGGAGGGGCAGTGCAAAAGAGTTGTTGAGGGGAAAGGAGTGGGGGAGAGGCAGAGAGAGGATAGTTGCAGATGGTTGGTCCCTTATCCACATATGGAGCATATGGTGAGGTGGGAGGGAGGCAACAATTGACTGTATTTTCTTGAAAGCCGGCTTAGCTTGCAAATGTTTGGGAAGCACTTCTGTTAATTAGTTATACTGTTCATAATGTCCCTGCCTTGGTGGAGCTTTGAACACTGTTGCACCTAGGTCCCTGCTATTCTCTGCCTGTAACGCAGAAATAGTCTAGTCTCCGGGGGTCTGTGATATTTTCAGCTACTTTCAGCTGCTAGGTTTCATGTGCAGATGCAGGGTGGAGTTGAGGCTTGTGATGTGCACAGTAATTCCAAGAGGCTCTGGCTGCTGTTGGAGTAGTGGTAGCAGTCGGGAGCCTCGGGCCTTTTAGAATCACCAGTCCCCAGGCAATTGCCCTCTTTGCCCCCGGGGGGGGGGGTCCCTTCTAACTTTCTGACTGTGAAAGGAAGCTGGTTGACATGTGTCACCTTTAGAGGCAATGTACAGAACTTAGGGATAGTTTTGCCATTGAATAATAGTTGTTCTTTGCATGTGCTCTTTGGTTCCCAGATCAGTCTTATTGTGATCGACTGCGGCAGGACATGTATTTTCTCACAAGCAATGGCAGACTGAGTGAACATCTGGTTGATAAAGTTATTCTTCAGCTAAACAGAGTTTATCCTCAGATTCTCACCAATAAAGAAGCAGAAAAGGTAATTGACTGGAGATGCCTGTAGTGTTTCCGGACGTAGCTTTATTTTCTGGTTAGCCTGGGAGGTGGTTTGGGACCCCTGGGCTGCCAACTGAGATGCTTAAGATGCTACTGAGCCTGCCTTCTCACTCAGCCTGGGCCCCCTTTTACCTGGCCTGTTTGAGCCTCTCAAGCCTCCTCTAGCAAAGTACACAGGCAGGGCCACAACCAGCTGCTGATACAGACTCTGAGATCAGGTCTGGGAGGACTCCGCTTAAGGGACTTACTACAGCACCCTGATGATCACCCTTGAGGTACAAACCCAGAGTTATATGATGTTTGCTTTCTTTAATGTGAAGGAAGCTAGGCCCAGCCCCTCAACTCCCCTCAGTTAGAAATTACGTAAACTAGGTTATCTTCTCTCTCTCTCTCTCTCTCTCTCTCTGTGTGTGTATATATATATAAAACTTTTCCTGCAGGATGACAGACTGACATCATGCATCACTCTGTGTCCTGCAGCCCCTCCCTCTGCCCTCAGCCACGCAGCCCCACCCCTCTGTGCTTGGGAGGTACAACCCAACTCCCTGGCAGCTGGCAGCAGAGAGCTGGGCCCTTCAGCCCTGCCTGACCCACCAGCAGCTGCGGGGACAGAGCGAGGCTTGGGGCTGTCCTGGCCCTGCCCTCCCAGTGGCTGGGGGAGAGAGCCAGGGAAAAGATGAAGAGACTTAGATGATGTGAAATGTAAAATTAAAGAAAAGCTCATTCATTTAGGAGCTTCAGAGTAAATATAAGGCCTGATGTTATGAAAGCTGGATTTAATTTTTACACTCATCCTGAAACAGAACATGTTCCCTGGAGCCTGTGCAGATTTGTTCTCTCTTTTTTTCATTTACAAAACTTGTCATTCCCATTATATATATTAGGCCTCATCTTGCACACTCAATTTCTCTGAAAACATCCACTCAATGTGCAGCAGCAATCAAAAAAAGCCAACAGAATGAGATATAGAATGAGATATAGAATAAGACGGAGAGCTATCATATTGCATGAATCCATGGTACACCCTCATCTTGAATACTGCGTGCAGATGTGGTCGCCACATCTCAAAAACAGACATATTGGAATTGGAAAAGGCTTAGAATAGTGCTTTTCCAGCAGAAATGGATAGGGGTATGGAGAATGGCTGCCATATGAGGAGAGATTAATAACACTGTGATTTTTCAACTTGGAAAAGCAACAGCTAATGGGGGATATAGAGGTCTATAAAATCATGGCTGGTATGGAGAAAGTAAATAAGGAAAATTTATTTACTACTTCCCATAACACAAGAACTAGAGGTCACCAAATGAAATGAATAGGCAAGAGATTTAAAACAAACAAAAGGAAATATTTATTCATACAACACAGTCAACCTGTGGAACTCCCTTCCAGAGGATGTGGTGAAGGCCAGGACTTTAACAGGGTTCAAACAAAAAATAGATAAATTCATGGAGGTTCGGTCCATCAATGGCTGTTAGCCAAGATGTGTGAGGATGGTGTTCCTAACCTCTGTTTGTCAGAAGCTAGGAATGGGTCACTTGATGATTATCTCTTCTTTTCATTCCCTCTGGCATTGGCCACTACTGGAAGACAGGATACTGGACTAGAGCCCTTTGCTCTGACCCAGTATGGCTGTTCTTGTGTTCTTACATCTGATACTGCTGTCATCTCAGGGCTTCAGTGGGAATTTTGCCTGAGTATAGAGCATACGAAAGCATTCCACTCCCGCAAGATAAGAAATTGATCCTAAGTGTAATGTTATCTCTGTCTACTCTAATGGTCCTCAGTGTAATGCTTTTATATTGATTTGCAGGGAAAATTTAGGACGCTTTCTAAATACACATACGTCTAAAGGATCTCAGCTAAGGTTAGGTTAAGTTTTCACTCTCACTGTAGAGTTTATTATGGCTCAGCACTTGTCAGGTCATGGGGAAAGTTATCTCTTCCTCTGGAGCAACGAGGATAGGAAGACAGGATGAACACAAAGTGTGATACATGAGGACTGACATGATGGCTAGAACATGCCATGGCCAAATTCCAGAAAACTAGGGCAAAATTCTTTACATGTTTGTCCCAGTTCTGAGAACTGCATTTTTAATAAGACTAAATTAGAAGTAAAGACTTTTTCAGCAACCAGTGGCATCAGAAGTATTTCTGGTTAGTACCCTATTGACAATATATTGGTTGCTTGTGAACTCAGACTCTTTGGAAATGATAAGCATCAGTGATCTTTCCTATTGTTTGGGCTATACTTAGAGCTCTGAACAGATGTAAAAATGTGGAATCCAGATCCACTGGAAACAATGTGCATATGATCTGCAATCCGCTCCCTCCCTTGACCCACTGTGCCCCGCCTGGCACTCCTTTTGGAGAGCAGAGTTCTTTATTAGATGAGCACTTGGACAGCCACCCAGGAGAGAGTCAAATGCTGTCCACCTAATTAGCAGAACACCCACAGCCAGCATATGTTTCTACTAGTGGTGCACATTTGCACATGCCTTGGTGCACATAAGAAAATGTATTCTGCATATGGATGGGAAAAATTAGAGGGAACATTGCTAGGATGTGGGACAAGCATCCTGCCCCGATCATGGTCCTCCTCATGAGCTCTCTGACCCCACTTCTGGTAAGTGCCGAGCAGGGCAGAGCCTGACAGGCACACATGTACAACCCTTTTTGTAGTATCCACATCCACTCCCAGATCTGCAAAAATGAATTGTGGATTCACATATCTGCAGATATGGAGCAGATATCCACAGCTTTGCAGGGCTCTAGCCATACTGAAGTTGATCAGATGCTAAAACAATGCTTGATCAACTTGATTTGGGTCTGAATCATTATTTTGTTTTCCTATCCTAGAATGTTCCTGTACTGACAGATGCTTTTAGCAAAATAAACATAACTCTATATTTTCACTCTTTCGTAGGGTATGTCTACAGTACAGAGTTTTTCTGGAAAAAATGTACTTACATCCACACTGCAATCGTGTTCTTTAAACAGAAAGTCGAAAGAACGTAGGGGGTTTTCCGAAACTGGTAAACTTCTTTCTATGAGGAAGAAGCCTTTTTCTGAAACTGGTCTTTTGGAAAAAGGCACGTGTGGATGGGGAAGAGGGAGTTTTTCGAAAGAAGAGGTCTCCAGTAAAAAGCACAGGTGCCCATATGGCCACTCCATCCACAGCAATTAGAACTTAAATGTGAGATAGCATCCAATGAATGTGGACGCTATCTTTCGAAAAAGCAGATCGCTTTTTTTGTTGTGCTTTTTGCTATGTAGACACTCTCTTTCAAAAGAAGCTTTTCCGGAAGATCTCTAGACACAGCTCTTATGTAAATATAGGGTAGGAACTAATTCAGCACTGTATCATTACTTCTGTAGTGTTTGTTCTAACGGGTGCTTTTTCTCTTACAGTTCAGAAATCCAAAGGCATTGCTTCATATTCGGCTGTCAGATCTTATAAGTCACCTACAAAAGAAAGGAGACAAACACTGTCAAGAATTTTACAGGGCTTTACAGATCAATGCTGAACAACTGTATAATGACTTGCCAAGCAGGAAAACCCTGAGTAAGTTGGGAGACTTGTGGCTTCCTGGAGGCAATATATCACAACATTTTCCTTGGAATTAAATGCTCTTTTTCCATGTGTTAGTTTCTGCAGACTGGAGACTTTAGAAGCCACCTAGTGGATTTGGATACACAATTAATTTGACTGTAATTGGATGTCCAAATCTCGTTACCAGCTTTGAAATCTCAGCCCCTGTATTTAAGATATAATTTATGTCCAATATCTAAAATGCAGAAAAATAATCCAATTCAACATTTCTTTCTTTTCATAACTGCCCCTTTTCCTGTTATGCATTTTGTTTTTGTCAAGAATTTATTCTGACTTGTAGTAAATAAAAGCTATGTTTTAAAATAACAAGTGTGTGACACAAAGTAACAAAATCAAGGCTGCTCAGAGACTTGGCTTTCATTCAATTCTTAAATCACCCAGCTGTGCCTCATTAACGCCACACACATTGTGTGGTAGATTATGCTATTTTTTTTATAAACACTTGCATGGCAAACCACAGTGTTAATTACCTGGAACCTGATCCTGCAAATACATAAGCATGAGTAGTCACATTGAGCTTATGGGCATTATCACACCCATATGTGTTTGCAGGATTGAGATCTTTGCTATTTTCATTTTTTATAGTATAAAGTAGATCTTTTTCTAAAAGGAGAGAGATGCAGTCCCTCTTACCATGCTGGGAAAATAACGTTGCCACATATGACTCGCCCTTTCCAGTAAACATTCAGCACATTGAAACAATTTTAATAGCTTGAAGAATGGATGTTGCAATTAGTTTAATGATGCTGCAAAGGGGCCACATGCTACAAGTCCCTGCAAACTGTCTAATTACACTGATGTTGCACCAGTCTAACCTCTTGTAGTTTTGAATAGCATTCCAGTACTGCAGAATTTCTGGTCATGTGGCCAAACCCCTAAGACTAACAGCGTAAAGTCAAAAACATGCAAGGCCAAAAATCCAAACATTTGTCTTTAATTAATATATCACAAATAATTTTTTGCAGAACAATTGATCTGGAAAATAGTTGGAATATTTCAAAACACGGAAACTCCTGCCTTCATCTAGCATCTTACTATGCAGTAAAGCTTTTGTGCACACTGAACTACAAGCCCCTACTGATTTGGAAATAGCATAGTCTTAACACATGCCATCCCCAGATAATATACAGACTCCAACGTTAGCCCAAACTTCCCTCACATTTGGAGGGTGTTTCCAGGAGGGCTTTGATTTGAGCTCATCTCTGCATCAGAAGTCCACATTAGTAATCCTCACAGCAGCATTAAGTCTGGCCCTTTGATTAGATGTTTGCCTCACAGAAGCCATCCCTGCTGAGGCAGTATGGAAACTTCGATCAAACAGGTTAGTATCTCAAAGAAATCTGTCGCTGTAGCTGAAGAAGTCAGCAAGGCTGGAAGCTCAGAATTTCCCTTTCAGGTTCAGTGGAAGAGGCCAATAGTCATTACTTAGTAAGGGCCTTGCTGACCTTAATACTCTGGTTGAAATCACAGAGAGTCAAATTTTCTTGAGTCGTGTTATGGAACATGATGGGGTAAGCGAGCCTTTAGGACCAATTGTGGTTGAGTGGCACTCATATTGCATAAGAAGTAGGGAGAGTCCTGACCATTACTTGCATGAGGTGAAGATGTGGCCAAAATGGATGACACTTTATTGTAACCGGGATTGCCTAGTTTTATTTCTGAATAGATTTAAATTGGTGATCTTGTAATCTTGGTTAGTTTTGTTTGGAAAAATTGCTTCTTCATACTTGAACGTAATAATACCAATTGGGGGACCTATGTATCTCAAATCTTAACTATATTATTAATACCTTAGGGTATGTCTACACTACCCCGCTAGTTCGAACTAGCGGGGTAGTGTAGACATACCCTTAATGATTTAGGAGCCTAATTCCCATTGATTTTTTTTAATCAGATACTAGGTTTTGAAGAGCCTAAATCTCTTTCAAAATGGGACTCAAGCACTTTTGAAAATTGTACCCAGAACCTACTTATGGGAGATGTGTCAGGATTGGGACCTCACCCATGACATGTGAGAATAGCAAGTTGGGCTGCGAGGCGTGTAGAGGGAAATAAAGCATAGAGGTGTTACTGCATCTGTGGATAAATGAGACAGTACTTTGCACGTTGAATAATATTCAAAGCAGACCCAAAACTTATGTGGTACAACAACAAAAGAACAGTATATTGTCTCTTCCTTAGCAGACTCTCTTTTATATCATACACATGAGAAGTACCTTTAAGATCTCTGTGCTTAAAACATATACTACTGTAAGCTACATCATCATAGACTGCAGACTCCTTAGTCCATGTAATAAGGAAAAAAATCATGTATTCTGATATGTAAGGATTTGCATATTAGAGGTTAGATAGTTAAACTAGTTGAGCCTCAGTCTGAATTAATTAGCTAATATTTTTGAAAATACAAAGGGCTACACAACTGCTATTCCTTTTTACAGTACTGGGTCCTGCCATGTGGGCAGGGGACTGGACTTGATGACCTCTCGAGGTCCCTTTCAGTTCTAGTATTCTATGATTACTAACATATGAATTAACAGAACATGAAAGGTAACCTTCTTAAAGACACACCCCCTTTCTAAACTCAAGCAGCAGAAAGGAACCCTATTATTTTTGTGTCTCTCTCAAGTAAACTTGAATTGTTTAAATTCTGTGTTGGGCCCAACTGCATGGTCACTCGGAAGCCTTCTGGAAAATGGATGTGGTCAACCATCATCTTAGCCAGTGGACAGGCAGAACAATAACCTGAGATTAACACTTGTCTGGGCGAGCAATACTAGACATACGTTCTCTGAGACATGCACATTAAATGTCAGCATTCTCTACCTAAATGGAGACGGAGGGTTGCTTTCAGACTCTGGCAAACTGAGAAGCTTAGTCAAATTAAATAAATGACTTCTCCAGCTGCAGTTGCTAATGGTAGAAAACCATGTGGATTGGCTGGATTGCCCTTCTGTTTGATTTTTGCAGAAAAGTACCAGTCTCAGGGTCACATCCCATGTGCCAGATCTGAGCCCGCAGAAGCCGCAGATGTCAGTGAGCGTTGCATACATGTGGCTCTGGAAGCTGAATTTGGGCTCTGCTATTGGCAGAATCCATTGCCATGAAGATTGTTGGTCATAGGAGCTATGTCTACACTTCAGAGCTTTTCTGGGATACTGGAGGTATCTCAGAAAAGCTATGCTGTGTCCAAGAAACACATCCACTTTTTCAGAACAATTTCCAAAAAAGAAGATGTGTTCTTTCGCCATCCCTGTAATTATCATTGTATGAGGAAGAAGGGCTGTGTCTAAAGAGGAGGTTTTTCCAAAATTTGGCCCCATGTAGACGGGCCAAATTTTGGAAACGTCTTTTCTGAAAGAAAAGCAGAAAAATATATGCAAATTGCGATTTGCAATTTGCGTATCTTTTTCCAATTTTTCTTTGCAGTCTAGACATAGCCAGGGTAACAAGAAAAACATTGATGGCTGTGGGAGTAAACCCTTGTTTACAGCCTGGTATTTTTTGCATTTCATAGGTATTAGTGCTTTAGACTTTGTCCCAGTATGAAAACCGCTCTCTGATGTAATCTGTTACCAACATTCTTTGACTCTCCGGGCATTTGTATATCTGACAGGAGAAATGTACAGACAATCTGACTATTTTAAGCCTCTGTCTACCAAGGCACTTGGTCACAGAGGTGATTTTACACATGTGAGTAGTTTCAACAGAATTACACATGTGCTTAAGTGCTTTGCTGGATTGAGACTGTAAAACCTCAATGCCTTCCACCTGTGTTGAACTCATGAATTCGCTATTTCTTTAATAAACACAGGCCCTGATTTAACTGCAGTGGTGACATGTCTTCAGGAAGGGTGAATATCATTTAAAAATGTGCTATTTCTCTGAAAAATGGTAATATAGACTTTCCCTCCGTTTTGCATGAATTGGTACAGATGTGGGTTGGCTTGAGCTCAATACTAACTCTTGGTGTGTTGCTTTTATTTCTAGAAACCTCAGCTTCCACAGGGATAGACACAGACAAGGAGAAATATATTCTAACTGACAGGGGTAAATAAAATGCATACAGTACAAATGGACAGACTGATACTCTCAGATGAAGATGCAGTTTATTTTACAACTTAATTTACATTTATGGAGCAAATCATTTGTTCTTTTATGTCTTTATAGTAGCTGTGTAAATGGGTTTAACTTGTGTTAGAAGAAAACTTATTCAGCCTGCTGCTGAGAAACTTGGTGTCATAGAATTCAAGAGATAACAGAACTTTAGGCAACATTTACATTGGTATTATTTTAAAATTGGGAATATTTTAACTAGTCTCTAATTTCCCATGCCCTTCCAATACTTTAGCAATAAAGGGCTTTACAATGACTTCTGTGCTTTTATAGAAAAACCTTGCTAAATCACCAGCAACCCCATTCCACCTTGCTGAATGTTGCCGATTAGTGAGTAAACAGAAAACAGCCAAACACATAAGAGGAAACCAACTGCAAAACAAAAACTCCCCAAGAATAATGGTGAACTAATATACTTTGTCCATTAAGGATGAATTGTGTCTCTTCCCTTGCCCAAGGCAGTGTTATGGTGGGGTCCTTACTGCAGCATAACCAGCACAGGGATAAGAGGGTAAGACTAGGAAGCTGTGCAAAAGTTCAATACCCCTTTGTGCTCTGTCGGGGTGAGACAGCTCATATCCACCAGCCACTTCCCCCAGCAAGTCACATCAAGTGATTGCAGTGGTGAGCCTGAATTAGATCTTCAGAACGCAGGCCCGGCGATTCTAAAGCGCCTGCGGGCCAGCAGTGTCTGTGTCTGGGGTCCTGGGCCCTTTAAATCGCCACCACAGTGCTTTGTGGCGCACTCTGGCTGGTTCTGAGGGCTGGGGGGTGTGCCACACTCTGGGCAGTGATGAGAGCTGTGGAGGGAGGTGACACACTTACTGGCCCTGGCCCTGGACTTGGCCCCGCCCCTGCCCCTTCTGGGGACACAGAACAAGCCCACCACCACCACCTTGCCCCAGGGCCCAGCCTGGCTGACAGCTCCCCTGGAAAATGACTCAATTCCTGGAAAATTTGTACTCCCTGCTGTCCCTATATCTATAGTCCAGGGGGTAGTCAGCCATTTTTTGTCACGGTCCCAGTTTCTTGGTCAATGTATAGTCACAGTCCAGACTTCAAAGAAAATAACAATACAAAATAACAATAATGATGACAATAAGTAAATAAAAAGATTGTTGTGGCCTGTTATGGGCTAGGGATAAAGGGGAAAATAAGCCACACAGAGCGCACCAGTAAGAGACCAGCTGGCTGGGGGCAGGGCTTGTCACTACACCCTGAGTGCTAACCCTGGTGTTCAGCTAGCTGAGTAGCATTGTCATGGCCAGTCCGGGGAATCCAGCAGCTGGGCAGCACAGTGGCTGTACTCCTAGCCCAGAACTTTCCTGTTACTTCCCAGCTTCCTGCCCTGAACCCCCCATACCTCCCAACCTCCTACCCTAACTCCTGTATCTCTCAACCTCTGCCCTGAGTCCCTGCACACCTCCCAGCTCCCTTCCTTAACTCCTGCAGCCCTCACAGCAGGGGCGCCATTTTAGATTTTGGTGGGGGGGCAGCTACATGTGTACGCCAGCTCCAGCCCCAGCTGCTGCCAATGCCATGCAGCCCCAGCTCTGGCCCCAGCTCCTGCTGCCACCACATGGCCCTGCCCCCCCCCTCTTCCACCACCGCCAAGCCCACCACACCAACTTACCTTCCACATCAAGGAAGGCGAGTGCTGCAGCATGGCTCTGCTGAGGGGGTGGGCAGGATTACAATTCTTTTTGCATGTCCATGCAGGCGCGCACCTTAGAGGGAACAAAGGCAGCCAAGCAGCAGTTTGCATGAGAGGGTCCTTTTGCTCTGCTTGATGCACCTTGATAAGCCTGCATTTCTTTCACTTCAGTGGAAGAGGGAAGAGGAGTGAACAAAGAAAACTACCTGTGTTCCTCTCATGCCCAGCTAGAGAGGGGAGCCATGAGATAGTATCCTGCTACAGTAGGAAATCGAGGGGTGGCTGCAGCCCCCCCAATGACACCCATGCCTCACCCCCTCACCCACTGCCCTGAGTCTCCACAACTCCCTGCCCTGCCCTCCCTAACCTAATGTCATGAGCCCCCTGCATTCCATCCCACATTTACATTTCTTACAGGTACTCTCCTGTCACTACACCTCTCCAGTAGGGATGTAAGCAACTAGTTGACTAGACAACTACCTGAGAGTGGGTAGTCGAGTAGTGACTCAACTAGTTGCTCCCCCACCTTGCTGTCTCTATCAGAGAGAGGCAGCAAGGGGGGAGCAGGAGCCAGTGCTGGGAGGGAGCTGGCTTAAAAGCCAGTTCCCCCAGCACTGTCTCCGGGATGGCGGGCAGGGGAGGCAGAAGCATAGCAGGGGACCAAGTGCAAGCAAGTAATCAGCTGATTCCCAGCTTGTGCCTGGACCCAGATGCTGCACCTCTGCATTTTAAACATATTAAGAGCCAAAAGGCTCCTTAATACATTTAAAATGCAGAGGTGCAGCGGAAGGGGATGGGAGTAAGCTGGGAATCAGTTGTTCCAGCTTGCTCCCAGTCCCCTTCACCGCTGCATCTCTGCTTTTTAAATATATTAAGAGCCTAGCAGAGCAGCAGCGGGTATAGCTCCTATTCAATTAGATGATTACCCACAATTTAACATCCCTGCTCTCCAACCACTGCCCTGAGGCCTTCCCTAGCCCCCAGTGAGTGTACAATAAAACAGTACCTGTAAGAAACTTATTACTACTCCGCCCGAATAGGTAAGAAATCGTGATAGTCTGAGCCTCCCCCATAGCACTCAGCTATTAAACAATGGCCAATTTTTTCTGCTGAATGAAATGTGGCTTAGCAAGGCTGTATGGCAATATCAGCACCATGTTTCATTTCAGCTGGATGTGCTTAAATGGGATTAGAATTAAATATACAAAGACCTTTGCAGTTCAATTGCATTCAGAACCATGAACAGCAACAGAGAATATTTTCAGTGTAATATTCATTACTTTGCAGCGTGCATCTAAATGCTTTCACACACAATGCTCTTCCCAATTTTTTTTTTTTTTGCTACAAGTAAGGATACACAGCTCTATAGCAATAGCTGTCAGTTAAATAAAAGAGATGTAGACCCACTCAACAATGTGAAAATCTTTGGTTCTAATTATATATAGAATGGTTGATGACTGGCCTTTTTCTTTTACTTTCTGGCCCTAGATAATTTAATGAGGTCTGAGCCTGCAGTCCTCACTCAAAGAAAATTCTCAGGAAAGTCCAGGGAACTGAAGTCTGGGGTTTTGAGCCTGGACTAAAGGACTGGAGCCTTTGGGCACGTCTACACAGCAGGGCTAAACTTGAAATAAACTACACAACTTGAGCTACGCTAATTGTGTAGCTTACGTCGAAATAGCTTATTTGGGCACAGTCTACACAGCAGTTATTTCATGATAGAGCACTCTTCCCCGACTTCCCTTACTCCTCATACAATGAGGGTTACAGGAGTCGGAGTAAGCAGTCCTCCAGCTCAACATTGTGTCACAATAACTGCTAGACGCAGACTATGTTATTTCATAATAACTGGCTGCTGTGTAGACATAGCCATAAAGAACAGTGATTCTTCCTGGCAGAGAGCCAGGAGAAGAGAGGGATGAAGAATGCAAAACATGAAAAAATGTGGAAAACGACTTATTCGGAGCCAAATTTCAATATCGTCACTCTCAGCGAATAGTACCGTACGCTACAAGCAGTTCATTGACATCCACGCGACTACATGGGGAGTCAGGTACTCCTCAGTGTGAGTGAGGGTATAAAATGTGGCCCCTATTTTGCCATTTTTTAAAGAAAAAGGTGTGTTTTAACACAGACTAGGAACTTTTTCATGTGCAGTGTAATTAGGCCTCCCATTCTGAGTTCTTAATAGAACAAGAGAGGCTAACAGTGTTAGACTCGTTACAATGTAATAATATACTTGCAATAAAGTGATTATATTGTATAGTGCAGTAGATACAAAATATAAATGATTGTGCAAACTTCTTTTGAATAATATTTGCCATGATAATAACTGAAGATAGTGAATCATTAGATTAAACTAAGCTTTCACTTTTCTGTGCTCTTTTACTAAAATTCACATTTCTTTTATTGTCCTTAGGTCCCATGTTCTTCCTTGCTTGCTTTAGTGTGGCTGCAGGACTCGCATTGTTCATGTACTGCTGTACCCCAGGTAATCGACTCTGGAATTGTTTTGAAGGAAACTGTTTATTCTCGGTCACCTTACCATAAAATACATGTGAAGATAGGCCTGCCAACAGGAATTTCAGACCCCAGGACAGCACAATCAATGCTCCCCCCTCTCGCCGCCCCACCCCCCATCCTCCTCTCTCAGACAAAGCCACAAGCCACCCCTACACATACCTGGAGAAACCCAAAGTGATACCCCTCAGTCAGAGGACCCCGTGATGGGTTGCAGCCCCAACCCCCACCTGCCCAGAGGTGCCCCTCCCACTTGCCTTCCCCTCTCTGCCCCGCCCCCCAAGCTCTGCCTCCCACCATTTCTGTGCCCTGCTCATTCCCTTTTCCTCTTTGTCTCTCCACCCAACTCTGCCCCCCACTAGTTCTGTGCCCAGCTCGGCTCCTTCCCCTCATTGCCCCCCAAGACCTCCCAGCCCAGCTCCCTCCCCTATCCAGCCACCCCCAGCTAGCTCTGCCCCTCAGTTCCTTTCTCCCAGCCCCTGCCTACCTCTGTCTCCACCCCTCTGCTCTTTTCCCCTTCCAGCCCAGCACCCCCCAGCCATCCCAGCCCAGTTCCTCTGCCCAACTTGGTCCTCACTCCCCACAGTTCCATGCCCAGCTCTTACCCCAGAACTCGGCTCCTTCCTTTCCAGCCTGGCTCTCCCCTCACTACTCACTCACCGGCTACAAAGTTGCAGCCATTTCTGCCACAGCCCAGCCAGCTTCTCACCCTAGTTCTGCCTTCCCAGCACAGCTGGGGTTTGTTGTCCTTACTCACCCTCTGGCCAACTATGGGCCGTTCCTGCCCCGGCACTGTCTGGTGGGATATACCGCCGGCCCGGCAGAGCTGCTTTGCAGTCCGTGGCAGGCTCTGCGACTCAGGAGAGTGCCTAGGAGCCCTGCAGCCCACCTGGGCCTTGTAAAAAGGTCCAGGTCTGGCAGTCGCCAGAGGGCCCAGAGGCCCATTAAATGGCTCAGGCCCCTAGACAATTGCCCTCTTTGCCTCCCCCATCAGCAGGCCTGTTTGACGGATTCACTGTGTCTTGAATAAAAGCTGGTTTTACACTAGAGCTAATGGAAGATGTTCATTGTTCATTAAGGAGGTTAGACTGCAACCTGTGCACTGGGGGTACTTAATAAAAAGCCGAGAAACAAGAAGAGTCACTTTTAAAAGATCTAAACCATAGTGTGGGGAACCCCCATTGCTACAGCAGACAGAGGGGATTCATGCTTCCAAATTAGAAAACTTATTTAAGTAGCAAATCGAAATCTAATCAGTGCCTGCACTCTCGGTTACCTTATCACAAGGCGTCTCAGAGGAGTAGCCGTGTTAGTCCATAACTTTAAAAACAACAAGTAGTCCCGTGGCACCTTAGAGCAGTATTTCCCAATTTTATTTGGTCACGGAACCCCTAGAGTTGCCTTAAAAAAAAAAAAAAAAGGCCCCTGCCGCGTTTTGTTGAGCCAAAAAAAAAAAGCCCTTGCTCGCCATGGCTCTGTCTCTTTAACAGGGGGCGGGGGAGTGCCGGCTCTTCGCGGAACCCTTGCTTTCGCTTCGCGGATCCCCAGGGTTCCCCGGAGCACCAATTGGGAAACACTGCCTTAGGGGTATGTCTACACTACAGCACTAATTCGAACTAACTTAGCTAATTCGAATTAGCACATCTAGACTTAAAAACAAGTTTGAACTAGCATGTCCACACTGAGTGGACCCTGAACTGAGGTTAAGGCTGGCCGGAAGCAGTGCTGGCAGGGCATCAGATTAGGACTTAAGAGTGTGGAGCTGCTGCCTCAGGCTAGCCGAGGACTGTGCTTAAAGGGACCCGACCCGACCCCCACCCCGGACAGACAGTTCTCAGGGGTTCCCCGCTTGCAAAGCAGTCCTGGCTTGGAGTGCCCTGAGTGCCCACACTGGGCACATCACAGTACTCAGCCATCAGCCCGGCTGCACTTGCCGCAGGCTGCCATCCGGAGGGGGGGGGTCAATCAAGGGGCTTCAGGAGAGTTTCCACCCCGAGGAGCCCGCAGAGCCAGCCCAGTCCTCCCCATCGGGGGCTTGTACCCCATTCCTCCCTCACCTCCTTCCACTTACCCCTCCCTAGCCCCCCTTCCTGATGTACAAAATAAAGGACATGTGTGTTCAAAAATAGAAACTCTCTTTATTGAACAAAGCTCGGGGAGACTGGGAAAAGAAGGTGGGAGAGGGGAAGAGAGAGGGTGGGAGAGGGGAGGGCAACTAAAATGATCAGGGGTTTGGAACAGGTCCCATATGAAGAGAGGCTAAAGAGACTGGGACTTCTCAGCTTAGAAAAGAGGAGACTGAGGGGGGATATGATAGAGGTCTATAAAAGCATGAGTGGGGTGGAGAGGGTGCATACAGAAAAGTTCTTCATTAGTTCCCATAATAGAAGGACTAAAGGACACCAAATGAAATGAATGGGTAGCAGGCTTCAAACTAATAACAGAAAGTTCTTCTTCACAAAGCAAATAGTCAACCTGTGGAACTCCTGGCTGCAAGAGGCTGTGAAGGCTAGAACTATAACAGAGTTTAAAGAGAAGTTAGATAAAGTCATGAAGGTTGGATCCATGGAGTGGTATTAGCCAGAGAATAGAAATGGTGTCCCTGACATCTGTTTTGGAAGGCTGGAGATGGATGGCATGAGACAAATGGCTTGGTCATTGTCTTCGGTCCATCCCCTCAAGGGTACCTAGTGTTGGCCGCTGTCGGCAGACAGGCTACTGGGCTAGATGGACCTTTGGTCTGACCCAGTATGGCCATTCTAAGCTCAGGGTCGGGGGTCTCAGTGGACCACCTTGATTTT